CGGCGAGAAGGTCGTGTGGGGCCATGTGCGCGCGGGGAATGGTGGTGTCGGCGCCAGGCAAGGTGATCCTGCACGGGGAACACGCCGTGGTGCTCGGCAAGGTGAGGGCGCGGCCGTGGGGAGAGGGCAGGTAGGGGCTGTCCCGTTCCCCGCACTGCTGCAGGGCAAGGGGAGGGGGTGTCTGGCTCCCCGGGATGATGCTCGGTAAGGTAGGGGATGCTCTGCGCCCTGCAGTGCTGCACAGCAAGGTAAGGGCTGTGCTGCGCCCAGGTGTGATGCACAGACAGGTTAGGTGTGATGCACAGCGAGGTTAGGTGTGATGCACAGCGAGGTTAGGTGTGATGCACAGTGAGGTTAGGGCTGTGCTGCTCCCAGGTGTGATGCACAGCGAGGTTAGGTGTGATGCACTGCGAGGTTAGGTCTGTCCTGCTCCCAGGTGTGATGCACAGCAAGGTAAGGTCTGTGCTGCTCCCGGATGTGATGCACAGCGAGGTTAGGGCTGTCCTGCTCCCAGGTGTGATGCACAGCAAGGTAAGGGCTGTGCTGCGCCCAGGTCTGATGCGCAGACAGGTCAGGTGTGATGCACAGCAAGGTAAGGGCTGTCCTGCTCCCAGGTGTGATGCACAGCAAGGTAAGGGCTGTGCTGCGCCCAGGGGTGATGCACAGACAGGGTAGGTGTGATGCACAGCGAGGTTAGGTGTGATGCACTGCGAGGTTAGGTCTGTCCTGCTCCCAGGTGTGATGCACAGCAAGGTAAGGTCTGTGCTGCTCCCGGATGTGATGCACAGCGAGGTTAGGGCTGTCCTGCTCCCAGGTGTGATGCACAGCAAGGTAAGGTCTGTGCTGCTCCCGGATGTGATGCACAGCGAGGTTAGGGCTGTCCTGCTCCCAGGTGTGATGCACAGCAAGGTAAGGTCTGTGCTGCTCCCGGATGTGATGCACAGCGAGGTTAGGGCTGTCCTGCTCCCAGGTGTGATGCACAGCAAGGTAAGGTCTGTGCTGCTCCCGGATGTGATGCACAGCGAGGTTAGGGCTGTCCTGCTCCCAGGTGTGATGCACAGCAAGGTAAGGTCTGTGCTGCTCCCGGATGTGATGCACAGCGAGGTTAGGGCTGTCCTGCTCCCAGGTGTGATGCACAGCAAGGTAAGGTCTGTGCTGCTCCCGGATGTGATGCACAGCGAGGTTAGGGCTGTCCTGCTCCCAGGTGTGATGCTCAGTGAGGTTCGGGCTGTCCTGCTCCCAGGTGTGATGCATTAAGGTCAGGACTGCTCAACCCCCTGACAGTTCTCTCCACCTGCAGGTGGCCCTGGCGGTGGCACTGGACCTGAGGACGTTCCTCCGGCTGCAGCCCCATGCTGAGGGTCTGCTGCGGCTCTGCCTGCCTGGTGTGGGCGTCCAGAGGAGCTGGGACACGGCCTGCCTCGGGGAGCTGCGGGGCAGGATCGCAGGCAAGGCCTGGGAAGAGGAGGAACATGCAGCTGCCAGGGTGATGTGAGGGGCTGGTGGTCCTGCTCGGTGCCTGCTGCACCCGTGGGGTGACAGTGCAGGGCCCCTGGGGGTTGTTTGTCCCCCCTGCAGTGTGCAGGGCTGTGCTGTCCCTGACCACTTGCTGTGTGTGTCACTAACCTGTCCCTGCACCCTCTCAGCCACCCACACTCCCTCTGTGTGCTCTCTGTGGCTCACCTGCTGCTCAGGTGTGTGTGTGGCCCTTGCTGTGCTCTGTCCTGGTTCAGGCTCCAGGGGCTGTTCCTGTGCTGCTGTGGCTCTGGTAGTGTTGTAACACAGGCAGGAGCCAGCCAGGAACCACATCCAGGTGTGATGGGGAACCCAAAAGGAGCCTCTCTGCAGCTGCTCTCAGCTGGGGGCTCCTGGGGAACAATATAGGGCCTCTCTTCCTGCCTCTCTGCCCCACACCAGCCCTCACTGGAATTTCTCCAGCACCTTGTACTGGGTGAAGCCCCAGAATCTCCCAGTTCCCAAATCCATGTTCTTTGATGAAGCATTCATGACTTGCCAAGTGTTCCATAGTGATGGATGCACTGGGAAGTGTAGGCAAGGAGACAGTTGCAGGTGTGGAGTGTGGAAACATTAGGATTTCAGAGTGGCTGGTGGAGATCTTATCATGAATTCTCAGGTAGAACCTGAAATTGGCTCCACCTGTTTCTGCCTGCTGTAACAGGAGGTGTTGTTGTCAATATTGCTTTCAGTTTAACAATTCCCTGTGTCCTAAGTGTTCCAATTCTCCCCTGCTTGCTTCCATAGCTGACTTTGATGAGTCTAAGCCCCCCAGCACAGAGCAGCTGGATGCACTGAGGGAGTTTGCTGGGATTGCTGCTGGAGCCTCAGCTCCTGAGAGCCTTGCTACCCTTGCCTTCCTCTACATGTGCCTGGCTATCTCAGCTAAGTATGGGTAAGGCTCTCCCCCCACCCCAAAATAAACCTCTCAGGTGTTGGTCACCACTGGTTGCTGCTACAAGGTCATGGGGAGAAAGCAAATCTTTGAGGCAAAATAAGGAATCTCCATTTGTTTAGGGCCTGATCCCTCAGGAGACCTCAGAGCTGAGCTGTTTGGTGGCAGCAGTGGGGCTGGCACAGCCTGCTCTGAGACCTGCAGTTCAGAGCCTCTGTCACTCATCACCACTGCAGAGCTCCTGGCTTTGATTTGGGGCTCTGTAACACATCCCAGGTGTGTCCAGTGCAGTAAAGGCACATAGATAGGTCCTTATTCTATCTGCCTCATCAGCCTGTTGCTCCCATGGGATGTAACTGTGCAATTACACTTGGGATATTTGCACTTTATGTAGAAATGTACTTTAAATCATGCTCATAACCATCTTTGAAGGGTTTCTTTGTGATGCTGCTCAAGTATTTAGTTACCCAGTGCCCCTGCTTCACAGCCTGACAGGCTGTGCCAGTCATGGATCCAGTTCAGCCAGGCTTTGTTCCAGCACAATGGCTCAGCCAGGAGTGAGCTTTCCTCCAGCCCCTGTGTGTCAGTGCATGTGCTCCTGGTGCCAGTTTTCAACCAGCTTTCCCTGTGATCAGTCCTAACAGGTCTCTTTTGCCTCTGAACTGCTGCTCAGGGTGGTTGTGTCAGCTCCTGTGTGTCTGTTCCAGGGATGTGCCAAGCGTGGACATCCTGGTGTGGTCGCAGCTGCCCACGGGTGCAGGGCTGGGCTCCAGTGCTGCCTATGCTGTGTGCTTGGCTGCAGCCCTGCTCATGGCATGTGGAGCCATCTCCTGCCCTCTGGAGGAGGGAGAATCCACAGCCAGGTAAGGAATTGGGGGAGCCTCCCTGGGACAGCTCTGCTCCTTGTGCCCGTTGTTCCTCTCACCTGCAGGAGCTGTGGCACTGCCAACTCTCCTGGTCTTTCTTGGTGTGGCAGTGGCACCCTGAGCCCTTCTGCTGTCCCTGCACAGTGTTCCCAGCCCTGGCCCAGTGCTCTGACCTGTGATTCACATTTGTAACTCACTTGTGATGAAAGCACTTGGATGCAGAGGCTGCACAAAATTCACCTTTGTCATTTCCCTTGTCAAGTGTAAGATACACATACCTTAAAAGGCCAAAAAAAAACTTTCATTTTGCCAAGCAAATAAAACACACACACTGAATTTTTTCAACCTCAGTTTCCTCTGTGTCTGAGCATCTTCCAGGGTTTGCTTTCAGTCCTCAAGGATCGTTTCAGGTTTTTCTGCATTTCCCATGACTTTTTTTTTCTGCACGGGCTACATTTCCTCCTGATCTCCTGCCTGCCTTTCCCCTTTATCAGTGGCTGCTGAAAGAGAGAGTTTCTTTCCTTCTGCCCTTGGAGCTCAGCCTTGAATGCCTGGTGTGCTGTGCCCTGTGTCAGAGGAGGCTCTGTTTGAAGCTGTGTGTCCCAGCTGGAGGGGCAGAATCCATTGTGCTCTCCGTGCCAGGTGCAGCCTTTCATGGCTGGATTTTGTGTGGGACTGAGACAGCAAGAGGGGGTGACTGTGCTGCTTCTAAACCAGAATGTGCAGCCTGACACACAAACAGGTTCTTGGAGGGAGCAGTTTGTCCTCTGTGCTCAGGCAAATCTCCCAAATGGAGAAGTGAAAGGGCAGCTCTGATGGGAGCAGTAAGGATGTCTTCATTCCCTGCTTCCCCTCCATGGATCCAGCATAATTCTTCCCTTCCAGCTGGTGTGCAGAGGGGAGAGTGAAAGCTGGGGGTGTCAGACTTCAGAAGGTTTTTGCTTAACGTGGCAAGAAAAGAACAGCATGACACAATGACTGCTGTGTAGGGAAAAAGCCTCTCAAATTAGAAACAAGTGGTTTACAGCAAACTGCGCTTCCCTGGCTGAGTCCTGCTGCTGTGAGCTGCCTCCTCAATGCTCCACAGATTAAACAGTGGCAAGTGCAGTGCAAGGTGTGTGGAGATGGATAAACACACTCAGCCGAGGCCCAGGGAAGTGGGAGGTAAGGGAAACAGCTTCCACATAGCAGGTGGCTCTTGAAACTTTAGAAACAAGTGGTTTACAGCAAACTGCGCTTCCCTGGCTGAGTCCTGCTGCTGTGAGCTGCCTCCTCAATGCTCCACAGATTAAACAGTGGCAAGTGCAGTGCAAGGTGTGTGGAGATGGATAAACACACTCAGCCGAGGCCCAGGGAAGTGGGAGGTAAGGGAAACAGCTTCCACATAGCAGGTGGCTCTTGAAACTTCTGCCTTGCTTTGCTAGGCTCCGTGATGCTTTTCCAAAATCCATATTTGTGCCTCTCCTCCAGCAAGGAATACCTGTTCTGGGCCCCATGCTCTGAGAACCTGGTGAGTGTACTGCAGGGAGGGGCAGAGGTGTGTCTGTGTTTAAACATAGTTGGTTTAGATTAGATATTGGGAAGAATTACTAGATATTAGGGAAAAATTCCTCCCTGGGAGGGTCCTGAGGCACTGGCACAGGTTGCCCAGAGCAGCTGTGGCTGCTCCATCCCTGGGAATGTTTAAGGACAAGTTGGAGCAACCTGGGTTAGTGAAAGGTGTCCCTGCCCATGACAGGAGGTGGGACTGGATGAGTTTTAAGGTTTCTCCTAACCCAAACCATTCAGTAATTCCATGATCCTATGGTTTGGGTACCTGTGTGAGGCTGAGTGTGTTAGAGCAGGGTGCAGGGGGCCTACCTAGCTCATGACACTGAGCTTCCCTTGGGGTGCCAGAATCCTTCAGCAAGGGGGGAGTGAGTGGTTTTGAGAGAGACTGGTGAGTTCTGGAGGTGGCTGTGTGGGTGCATGCCTGGCCCTGGGGTTCTGGGAGGTGCTGAGGTGCAGTCACAGCCAGCACTTGCTCTGTAACTGGCAGCTCTGCGTTGGCTTTTTGTGTTGCTGCAGCCCATTAATTAGTCTGTTCAGTCAGGGGCCTTGATCCTTGCTGAGTCTGACCCAGCACCAAACTCTGTGCCAGCATTTAAGCTCCCAAAGCACTTCCCAATTTGTGTGGCTGCTTTTCAGACAACAGCAAAAACTGCTTTTGTGGGGTTTAGCAATAACACCTTCTGGAGCTGTGTTTGGTTCCCTTCTGTGCTCTACGTGCCAGCACTCAGCACAGCCTGAACTGCTAGGACTTAACCCCTAAAAACCAAAGGCTGTGCTGGAGGTGCTGTGGTTAGAACTGACTTACTTCTTGGCTCAGTTTGGGTGGCTCTGCAGCTGAGCAGAGGCTAAAGATGCATGTGTGAAATTCAGCTTTTACCATCCTCTTCTCACATCTTCTGCTCCTGTAAATACCCTGTCCTGTCCTGTCCTGTGTGTTGATGAGCAGGACCTCAGACTGAGATACAGGATGGTTTGGGCTGGAAGGACCTTAAAGCTCATCTCATTCCACCCCTTGCCATGGGCAGGGACACCTTCCACTAGCCCAGGTTGCTCCAAGCCCCATCCAACCTACCTGGAACACTTCCAGGGATGGAGCAGCCACAGCTGCTCTGGCCAACAGGGAAGAATTTCTCCCTAAAATCTAATCTAAACCTCCTCTCTGTCACTGTGAAGTCATTCCCTGTGTCCTGTCCCTCCAGGCCCTTATAAATAGTCTCTCTCCATCTTTCCTGTAGCTCCTTCAGGCACTAGAAGGCCACAGTTAGGTCACCCCAAAGCTTCTCTTCTCCAGGCTGGACAATCCCAATTCCCTCAGCCTTTCCCCTGTGTCTTGTGAGGTGTGGATGGATCTGGACTTGCATTCAGTTAAACTTGAACTCCACTAGGCCAGAGCTGAGATCTCCCTCCCTCCCTCCCTCAGCACTGCCCTGCTGTACTTGTGTACTGGAGTAATTCTCTTGCCTTGCAGGTGGACAGAGGAAGAGCTGAGGCTGATTAACAGTTGGGCCTTCCAAGGGGAGAGAGTGATCCATGGCAATCCCTCGGGTGTGGATAATGCTGTTGGCACCTGGGGTATGTGTTGGCTGCTCCCTGGCAGGAGCTCCCAGATCAGGTCCCTGTTTTGATCAGAGCACAGGGAATCCTTCAGTTTGCCCCATCTGTGAGCTGGGACTGGAGCCAGCTGGATGTTTGGGACTGGCTGCAGGGACAGCAGAGCTCTGTGTCCCCCAGGCAAGTGCCATGGGGCAGAGACCCTGCTGCAAATAACTGATAGTTAAACATTCTGGCCTGAACAAAGAAACCCTAATCCTGTCCCAAGGAGAAGAATGCAGTTGGACAGCTGTCATTTACTTTCAATTAGCAGAGACTTCCCAGTGTTTTGAAAGTGTCCTTGGAGACTGTTCATAATCTTTCTAATGAGACCTAATGGCAGTGCCTCTGTGAGGGCAGGAGCCAAGTGAGACATTCCTTGTGGACAATGACATTCCATGCTGAGGGATGGCTGCTGATACACGCTCAGCCCATGGAAACCCCAGCCCTTGGCTCTGCCCCAGGGAATTGCTGCTGGGCTCTGGGTTTTCAGTGAAGATTTAAATGCTGGGCAAAGACTTTGCCTTTCAAAAAAAAAAAAAAGAAATTATTTGATGTGATCCCAGAGTAGAGGAGAGCAAAGGGAAAGGCCTTGGGTTAACTATGTCCAGGCAGAGCCTCTCATTAAGGCAGCAGGTTAGGCAGATTCATGCTGCTGGAGAACATGGTTCATTTAGCTGGTGTTCCTTGCAATTACTGTCACAGGCTCTGGGTGAGGTTCTGAAGATGAAAGACCTTCTGTGTTATCTCTGTACCCAGACAATACATGTGTTTTACTTTAGGTGGAGCCCTGAGATACCAATCAGGAAAAATCACACCATTGAAGAGGTAATACTGGAGTTTAAAAATAACCCTCACACTCGGTGGGTGGGACGTGTCAGAGAGCTCTGGGTGGGTGCTGCAGGGGGTGAGGATGGTGGGAACTGCCTGGCAGTGTGGGGAAGAGCCCTCAGCCACATTTGGGGTGTGAGGAGCTTGAGTGTTGCCTTGGTTTGGGGTGGATGGGGACAGTGAAGTGTTTGGTCATTATCTGACATTAGATGAACACAGCACAAAGGATCAATATTAATTTCATGGCATTATGGGCAGCAGGA